ACAGAGAATTAGAAGAGCATGAAGAAATTTGAAAAACATTTGCAGTGACAGAAGGCAAAGACAAAAGAAATAGCAGTGTCAAGGTCATCAAGGCAAGAGTTTCTGAAAGGAAAAAAAATTAACAATGGTGGCAGATGCCACAGAGAAACACAAATTTAATCCTTGAATTTACATGAGGTTATTCTCTAATAACCTCAGCACAGATAACTGAAGCTAGTAACTTAAGGCTTGTGTTTGTTATCGTGATATCAAATGGTTACCTTTCTTTTACTCATACTGCAGGGTTCTCTTTGTTTATTAAAGTAGTTTCATAATCAACAATCTATACCAATTTCAAAATAGTTTAAGTTCCATAATAAAATTCTTTTTTTTTTTTTTTTGGCAGGGTTTCACTGTGAAACAGTCCTGGCTGTCCCAGAATTCACTCTGTAGACCAGGCTGGCCTCTAATTCACAGAGATCTACCTGCCCCTGCCTCCCAAGCACTGGGATTAAAGGCATGCACCACCATTGCTTAGCTAATAAAATCCTTTTCATGATTTCTGGAAATGCTTGTTTTCTCAGAAAACCTCAAATTACCTAAGCCCAAGACTCACAAACTAAACTATCTACAGGAACTGGATAAGCAAAATGAATAAGAAAGGCAATTTGAAAAAAAAATCTCCCAAACCAAAACACATCAATAGGTTTAAAATGGCCCATGACCCTATGTCTTACCACTGCTATATTATATGAAATATAATACATATACTGTACTATTATATGCAGTATAATACAGTATTTTAATCTTATACACTGACAAGAAATTAAGTGACTAATAAAAAAAGGCTCACAAGGGCTGGTGAGATGGCTTCAGTTGGCTAGAGCTGTTTGCCAAGTCTGATGGCCTGAGTTTGAGTCCCAGGACCCACACTGTAAACGGACAGAAAGGATTCTGTTCTCAGACATCCTTGAATACACTGTGGCATTTGTGCCAGACAGTCAAAATAAAAAGACTAATAAGAAGTAATAGGACCTGATGTAGAGCCTAGCTCTTGTTCCATGATAATTCCTGCCTATGTGAATATGTAGCCTCCTACCAAGCAAATAAGACACATTGGTGAGTTAGGCAGACATGCAAGCTAATAATCACAATAGACTGTAGTAAATTAGAAAAGGGGACAGGCTTCCACATTAATCCAGATGTCCTGTCTCTTCTGATATATTTTCAGACCAAAACTACAAAAGTAATTGTGGAGGACTCATCGAATCCATAGTACATGCCACACAAATGAGGCTTAAATGTGTTGGGAAATATGAGATCTCAAAAAATACATGTATTTATTTACTTATCTATTTATTGGTTTATTGTGTGAGTCAGCACACCACTGCTAGGTCAGGGGACAAGTTTCAAGAGTCATTTTTCTCCTTTCCTCAAATGGGGTTTGGAGACACCAAACTGTAGGTTCTAGGGACCAAACTGAGAGTTTTTTCAGGCTTGGGAACAATCATCTTTAGCTGCTAAGTCATCTGCTTGCCCAGAATGACATCTTTAACTGAAATTATAACTGTAAAACAAGTATCTAGCTACAGAATTTTAAAATAACACAAAACCTATTTTAAAATTTCTAGAGAAGGATTTGATAATTGCTGACAGAAAGCCAGACTCCGATTATTAAGACTTAATTATGTCAATCTTGTGAGTCTACATTGGTTTAGTAAGCCCACTCTCAAGATCAGAAGATACACATTTATTTCAATAAAACCAGGATTTAAGAGCTACATGGTCCCAAAGGAAGGGACTAGCAAAACTCTCATCTTGGCTCTTGCTAACAGTCCTCTAAAAAGTATGCTGTTTTTGCAAAACCTAGGTAGTACAATACCCTCAAAGTCGGGGGTGAGGGGCGGTGGTGGAATGGATAAAGGTGTTCTGATCGCCAAGTCCTTAGAAGGAAAAAAGAAAAAAGAATCTCTATTTTACACTTCTTAAAGGAATTAATGTGCTCCTTTGTGTTAAAAAAAGAAAACAAACCAATATCCAGCTGTAAGTTTTAGCCAACACTAACTTTGTCTTTGATTTCAGCAACCCTGGCAAATTGGCATGTTTTATTTTCCTTCTGGGAATGACAAATTATTTTGAACCTCAAAACATGTCTTACGGGCCGAGAGGCAACTCTCCCTGGTTAGGAGCAACAGAATCAAGTTGGCAGCGAGATCTAATACGAATCATAACCCACTCCTTTTCCGGCACCAGCTTAACGACAGCAAAAAGCAGAACGTATCCTCAAGTGTCACTGGGCCCAAATCAAGCTTTTGCTCAGGTTGAGAAAGGCAGGGGTGAAAATTACTGACTGGGCCGCATTTCTTGGGTGAGATGTTATTTACAGCTTGGGCCGGGAGAAAATGCTTTGGTAACAGCTGGGCTGAGCGTGGTGTCGCCGCCACGCAAGCAGGTCACGCACGGCTCACCTTCACAGTCAGCCTCCAACTGCGTATCGGTATCCTGGTCCTGCGCCTGCACTAGGTTCGAGATCCAAAGCAGGGCGCAAAAGGTCACTAGGATAGCTGGGCTAGTGCACCGCATGCTGAGCCTGAGACCGGGAACTACCTCTGTCAACCACACTACTGTCGCCGGACTACTGCCGCCGGAGACAATCTCACGGGGTGGATAAGAGGCAGGAAACAAGTGACGCAATTCCGCCAAGAGCTTCCACTGGCTCTCATGAACCGACCTCGGGAGAGGAAGGAGCAAATGAGCCTCTTCCGGTCATTTCCGGTTTGCGCGTGCGCGTTACGGCAAATACGCAGGGCTCCAAAGGAGCGCGGAGTGATGCGCTAAAGTCATTGGCTAAGTTCTGGGAGGAAGGCAGGATCGCTACGCTGATTGGCCGCGATTCGGGAGGCCGGCGCAGCAGACCGCACGCAGTAGGCGGGCGGGAACGTGAAGTCTCCGCAGTGCCTGACGGGCTTGCTCGGAGGAAGGAGGCTGTCTCTGGCTGCTGAAGGGTCCCTCGTTGAGCTGCCGTGGTCTCCGCCGCCCCATGGCGGCGATCGGTGTGCACCTGGGCTGCACATCGGCCTGTGTGGCTGTCTACAAGGTGAGACTGCGAAGCTGCCTCCTGGTCTTGTGGCGGCCACACGGTTCTCTGGGCTCCGGGTCATCGGCCCGGGAACCTTGTGTAGGAGCAAGTGGCGATGTTGCGGCTTCTCCGCTCGCCCTTCACAGCCAAGCCCGCTGCGTGGAGGGTGGATGCAGGAGGGATCTCGGGCACTCCGGAATTCCCTCCTGGGACCTCCGGGCTGCTGTCTCCTTTGAGGTTCCAGGGACAGAAAGGACATGGGTTACCCAGAGGAGTCCCCGGGACCTCAAATCTGCAGGGTGCACTTAGGAGGCCGTGGCCATAGAATGACCAGAGGGTTTGAGAAGATGTCACGGCCCCCAGGATGCCTGGAGGAGTCCCCGGGGTGGAGGGAAATCGTTCTTATAAAGATGCCCAGAACAAGCCTGGATGTCAGGATCCCCAGGATGCCACTTAGTGACAACTGACCGCAGATTCCCCGAGGTCACGGTGACGTCACGGGCTCGGGATTCCCGGAGGTGGGTGGTCTTTGGAATTTTTGGGCAACCAGAAGCAATGTGGAACTGCAGCCTGGTGAAGGGTACCTAGTTAAGAATTGATACTACTGTACACACTTGATGGTTCTGGAACTGAGAACTTGACAAGGAGCTGTGACATCTTTCTCCTGAATAACGAGGCAGAAAGAACAATGACAAAGAATTTACCCATTTCTAGCTCCGTGTTTAAGCTTTACATGATTTATAAGGAAAGACCCAAGGGATTACTGTAGAAAAGTAGGGGGGAAAGGTGTATTTGTGGGAGAGTCATGTGTAACAATACTTAGTTATCGTTTATAGGATGTTCATGTTTGATTCAGTTTACTGTGCAGAACTAACCAGAAAAAGAAATGAAAGGAGTAGAAGCCTTGAAACTAATAGTGGCAGTTAAAAGATTGCTATACCTTTTTTTCTTTCCACATAGATGGCAAAGTAACACTGGCATAAATGCCAAAGTAACCTGCTGTCGGTGTTCTGAGTTAAGCAGAATAGAAGAAAGAGAGGCACTGCAGTATGTAATAAGGCTTTATGAGCAGAAGGGTGGACCAGTCTCAGGACTGAACCCCCATAGCCTTGCAGAAGCTTTTTAATGATTATTAGACAAAAGCCTTTTAGCAAATCAATTTCGGAATACCAAAACCTCTTATCTAGGAGTTGTCGGAGGAACCATTACCTAAGCGATTCTCATCCATTGCAAGAATTCCTTGTGACTGAGATCATGCAAAGGCTCTGAAATTCCCAAAGGAAGGGAAACCTCACAAATCTCAGATAATAATCACTGATTATTTACAAAAGATTACTTAAAAGCCTCAATGGCCATCACTTGGACTAAATGCCAAGTACAAAGGCTCTTCTAAAATTCTACCACAATCCTGCAGGTGTGTTCAATGAGTTTGTTTTCCAGTGTAAGAGAACTAACCTTTGTGTTTTTTTTTTTTTTAGGATGGCCGGGCCGATGTGGTTGCAAATGATGCAGGGGATAGAGTCACACCAGCCATCGTTGCTTTCTCGGAAAATGAACAGGTACTCTCTATTGCCCCCATTTTTGTACTTGAAGATAATGAAGAATCGCATGCATTGTAGTTAAAATGCTGCTCTTTTTCAGGTGGTTGGACTGGCAGCAAAACAAAGTAGAATAAGAAATATGTCAAGCACAGTAGTGAAAGTAAAGCAGACCCTTGGCAGAAGGTATGATGGAAAGTACTTTTTAAGATGTGGGAATCAAGAAATATGTTTGCAAGTTCTAGGCAAAATGAAACTAGAGACACTACCATTATTTGATGATAGTCTTTTAGAGAGTACCCCAGTGGGTTTGCTCAGAAATTCGATTCTTGCTAACAGGTCTGGTAGTATTAATGAATGCCGACTTTCATTTACTTTGGGTCATTTGTGTCATTCATAAGTGGTACATTGGGCATCTTGTATTTTTATATATTTTTTAACTGAGTGAACATGAACAATCTTGTTGGAATTTGAAGATTTCTCTGCATGGCGATTGAGTTTTGCAAAGTCTCCTTGAATTGGTCATAATTTATGTAGCTACTATTGATTTTCTTCCTTGGGTGCCCTTGATGACTTTCTGGGAACTGGCTTTTTCAAGTGACTCACAAATGTAATCTTTGGAGAAACAGCTTAATTAATATCTTAAGAAACAGGTCAGTCATCTGTTGTTACTTTAATTAGAAGATTATAGAAGCTTGCTTCCCCAGACTTCTGTCTCCTCAAATTATAGATTATCATAATAATTAGGGCCTTTTCATTTTCTCTGGAGTAGTAGGACTTGACAGTGTTTTAAGAGCTTTCACATCTATGATTCTATGGAATCCTCCCAACATCCCCATAAAAACTTGGCTGGGCGGGCACTATCCTCTGCTGTTTATAGATGGGGAAGTCAAGGCACATGGAATTTGTGACTTTTCCAAATTAAAGAGGTGAATTAGATAAGCCTGTAGGTCAGGACTCCTAATCCTCAGAGCCACTGTGTCTGGTCTGCTTCATTTAATTAGAATGTAAAGATTAGACATTTCCTTGTGTCGATTTTAAAATTTAACAATTGTTAGTTAAATTTAATGTCATTTACATACACAAATTAATTCTACTAGCTCTTGCCTGTTTAGTTCAGTGAACTTGACATCACAATATTTAGGAATGAATTCAGAATCTGTTGTGTATGGTGGTTATACCTCCATATCCTTTAGCTTTAGTAGTTATTACTAAGTATTAAAATGTACTGCTAAGCATATTAGAAATAAATTTGCATCTAATGTTTTTGTATCATAAATGGGGAATTGTGATAGATCTTGAAGCCAGAGTCATTGAGAAGCCAGTGATTTCTTTAGTGACCATCCCCCTTTGGAGATAACCGTAGTACAGTGTGAGAGAAAACAACGGCAACTAGTACGTTATTAGGTTTACCGTTTCTCTGGTGTGCCATCATGTCAGACTATAGCTGAGTGTCACACTCAGACACTAATGTTGATCCAGTCAAGACAGAGAACATTACCAGATGTATTCCCTGGAAGCCAGCGATGTTTTGATTTGTTTCCTTTATGCTGCCACGACTGTCATTTATCATATTATGTACTTTGTATTAGCAAACCAGCTTAAGCTCACTTTTCTGGCCTTGAAAGTTAAATCCATTTAGCAAGAATGTAGTAGTGAGTCAGGTGATTAACAGATAAACACACCACAATAAATAAGCCAAAGTTAGTAAAAGTCGAGTACTGCTCAGACATACCACTAGACCACAGCCCTGCTAGTACTTTTTCATGCTCCGTTCATTCCCCTCCTTGGCCTAGTTACTTAACTAGACCATGGTCAGATCAGGTCTCAGCCTTGGATACATTTAGCCCAAGCAATTAAGCCAACACTTCCCGAGAGTTGATGAACTCCCAAAGTCTTGGCTATATGCCTCTGTGACTTAACACAGAGGTAGCACTACTTACCTTGCTGCCAGAATGATCCTCACACCTTCCCTATAACTCTCATTCCCCTGTGGCCTTCCAGCCAGAAGTGTGTTCCTCAGACCTGGCTTCCCAGCAATTATCCCTGAGAGGAAAGAACGTGCTGGCTCCTGGAAATATGCTGAAAGCAGACAAAACTTACCCACGCCTGCACAATTGTACCCTGCTGCCCAAGAACTTGCTTCAGTAGCCTTCTTTCCCAGCCCAGTATGGCCACCACCAATAGCAGTGCGGGCATCCGTTGGTCCAGACAGGAGACACGAACTCTTCTCTCCATACTAGGCGAGGCAGAGTACATCCAACGCCTCCAGACTATGCATCATAATGCAGATGTCTATCAGGCTGTGTCTAAGCGGATGCAGCAGGAAGGCTTCCGCCGCACCGAACGCCAGTGCCGCTCCAAGTTTAAAGTTCTGAAGGCATTGTATTTAAAGGCCTATGTTGCCCATGCCACAAGTATGGGGGATCCACCACACTGTCCATTTTACGATACTCTGGATCAGCTTCTTCGAAATCAGATAGTGACTGACCCAGACAACCTAACGGAGGCTGCTGCTTGGGCCAAGCACTGTGATCAGAATTTAGTGGCCTCTAACACCCCAGGGGAAGAGGGAACCAACATGCGGAAAGTGAAAAGGATTCAGGCAGCTGGTCATCAGCATGTTTTGCAAACAGTTAAGGAATCAGATGAAGATTGTCAGCTGAGAATCAGTGACCGGATTCGAGAAGCCAGTGATCTTGAGGACTCCTGGGATGACTCCTCGGTTGCAGGTAACTCCCAAGCATGAAAGGGACTGGGGCTTAGAGTCGCTTGGTCCCAAATTGTGTTAAAAGTTTGGACGGCACCCTCTTGAGCATAACTGATTTCTGTCTCATTAAACCCCCTTTTTCTACTACTTCAGGATTTTGCAATGACCTTATGTATACGTCAAACTCTTCACATATAAAGCATACTAGTTTGGTCATTATTTGTGCATGCCAGGCAAGTGCTCCAACACTGAATAATGTCCAGCTTTGGGCATTATTTGTAATGGGAACTTAGGAGTACATGGGAGAAAAAATGGAATGGGTCTTAGGGAACTCACAGGGTCAGTTTTATAGATGATTAAAGAAGCCAAAATATCACATTACAGAATAATTTCCTTTTATTCCCTTGTGGAAAAAGAGTTTCCCAAGAACTACCCTACTTCAACTCTGTTGCTGGCTACAAGCATTCCCTTAACAGGAATGTCCTCTTTGCAACACTGTGGCTTTGTTTTTCAGGGTGCTCTCAAGGGACCCCCAGCTACAGCAGCTCCCACCACCTTTTCAGAGGTGCAGTTGCTCCCTGTCAGAGCAGCCCCATGACCAGACTGGGTATGTCGGGGGAATCCAGTCCCTGCACCAACACCAACCGAAATCCTCTTGGGGCAGCCTCCACATCACAACCTCCAGGCTCCTCTTCCAGAGTTGCTTTTCTCTCTGGTGGGGATAGACTTCTGACCAGTGAGCCCCCTCCACGGTGGGCAAGGCGAAGAAGGCGCTCGGTGGCCAGGACCATTGCGGCCGAATTGGCAGAAAACAGGAGGTTGGCACGAGAACTCTCCAAGAAAGAGGAAGAGAAGCTGGACAGGCTGATTGCTATTGGTGAAGAGGCCAGTGCCCAACAAGACACTGCTAATGAGCTGCGCAGGGATGCTGTCATCGCCGTCAGACGCCTAGCAACAGCAGTAGAAGAAGCAACTGGTGCTTTCCAACTAGGGCTTGAGAAGTTGCTTCAGAGATTGATTTCAAATACCAAAAGCTAGGAATTGGTGGAATGGCTATATTTCCCAGACTGGCACAAGTCTGTTTCTAACAAGTACCTTCTGGAACTCTGGCTCTTTTCTGTGTCTTCAGGAAAAAAGAGTAGATGAACTGTTAGTATGCAGAACAGTAGCGAGTTCCTTTCCCTAAGTTCTCCACTAATGGAAAGGCCATTGAGGGATGGAAGGGTGGCCTGGCAGAAACTAGAAGGAATAAATCAATAGCTAGCTTGTCCTGGCTTCCTCACCAGTGTGAGGCAATCTTCTTTACTTCGACAGCAGTCTCCTCATCTGTGGAGGGGATCAGTGGTCATTCCTGCCCTGCCTACCTCACAGGGTTGTTGTGAGGATCAAGTGGCTTATAGATGTGAAAGCATTTTAAAGCACTATACACATGTCAGTTACTAATGCATTCGCCCTTAGCTAAGGTGAGGCTGGGGTAAGCATGTTCATTTACAACATACAGAAGTGTAGTGGTGGCCCATGACCCCATTGCTTGAATCTTTATTAGTTTAATTTGTCTTCCTCTTAGATTGAGAGCTTAAGTTCTGAACCTTTCTGTGGTCACTAGTCTAGGTCCAGTTGTATTTGTGTCCTTGTGGCTTACATGTTCACTTCTGTGTCTCTGACATACCTACTAGCAAGCACTTTTCTTAGTCAAACCAGTGTCTCCTTCATTTTACTAGTTTCCGTTCTTTATAGAGGTAAGGGTCTAATTGGGCACTGTGGGAGGTAAACATTTCGTATTGGTACACTTTATATGGTAAAATAGTGACTGTTTTATAAAGTAGAAAGTGTAAGTAAATTCTATGCATTTCGTATTATTTGAGCCCCTTTAGATGCATAAGTTGTATGTTTACATTTGTGGTTGCCATGGTAACAACCTGGCCTTTGTCCATTTCCAATCTGCTTGTGGCTAATGGCACTTGTCTCTATTAGCTGGTGTTGGGTTTGGGCCCTGACATGTTATTGAGGGCAAGTCTAGATCCAGAGTAGCTGGTTTTTTTGTTTTTTTTTTGTTTTTTTCTAAGTGATATAAACAAGAGTTCATAGGACTAATGGGTATGGTGGAAGACAGCAGCTCTGTTTACCCTTTAGTTTTGAGAATGTTGGGAGGTGATAAAGGCTGCTTCCCAGAGAACTCTCTAAGCCCAGCGCTCACCCAGAAATACATCCCTGAGGGGAGGTGGTGACAACTACCTGCAGTGTTATTGGCCTTCATTCAACTGGTTCTAGTGGATTTTGTAGTACTTTAGAAAACACAGTAAGAATCTTAGGGGTTTAAATGCCCTTCTGCAATTAGGAAGCTTGGGAGAAAATTAGCAGGTACATTGAGAGGTTTTGTTGTGGGGGTTGCAGTCAGTTGCTTACTTGGAAGCTGGAAATATAAATTTGTAAAGAAAAGGACAAAACAATGGTAGGGCCTCCCAGTAACCATGAATAGGTGGCAAAGAGCAAGCTGCAGTAAGATTGAACACTGGCTACATGAGTATTATGTGTTGTGGAAGTCACTGGAATCTGGTTAGGACTCCTGGACTCCAGTGCTGTCACAGTTGTTTTCATTGGGTGAACCACTTACCCTTTTTGTGCCTCAATTTTTTTTAATCTCTTAAGTTGAGGAATTTCTATTAGATAATTTTTATAGTAAATTTCAATTCTAGAATTTTAAATAACATGGTAAAGGTAAAAATGGAGGTGAGCTATTTATAATATTTTCAGTCAGCAGCTATTAATGTATGTTTGAAATACTGTTTATGATTGTATTTAAGGACACTCACTATGGTATTGATGTTTCTTGATGTTCGAATGAAAGTTCTGAGCATCATACTGAATATCCGTAGATGCCTTTCTTTCACTGAAGTGGGTATATAAGTGTATGTTGTCTCTTGTTTGAGGCCATGATGTGGAAAGGTGCATATCTGTTGTAACCAAATAAAACTAATACTGATAGATAATAAGTTTTCTGGAAAGAAAACCAAAAGAAAACAAAGCAGAGAAGTACTTTAAGGAGACTTAGACCTGTGCAATATTAATCTAACGGTGACAGTATGTAGGTGGGCATCTGTTTGATACGGGAGAAATGGTAAGGAACAGAGTGGAGTTAAATTTGAGGTATTTTGAAAACCTTAATGGGCAGAGTAACCCAAAGAAGGGAATAAAACTCACGGTCCTGAGGAGTTAGCAGGAAAACATGCAAACTACTAAAGGAGACAGTGCGGTGGTGGAGGCCATGTGCAAGAAAGAGGCCTGAGCTGCAGCCTACCCATTACCTCCTCCAGCAAGCCTTTCGCCATTCTGTAACTCAGGTTCTTCATCTAACGAGGGACCTAACAATTGTCCGTCCTACCTACCTCACAGGGATGTTGTGAGGGTCCAGCACACAGATGAATGCACATTTAGATGTGTAGGTACTGGAATGTACCAGGAGTGGAGAAGGAGACTCCACAGCACTTCGTGTCGTGCTGGTGTTGGCAAATCCAGGGGTCCTGATAACTCTAAGAGATGCTTGAGAAAGTGGACATGGCAATGCTGGAAAAAAGTTGTGATGTAGGATCAACACTTCCTGAAGGCCACAATGTGAATGAGGTGCTGTCTATGCCAGCCTCCCACCACCTTTGTTTTTCTGTTACCTAACTTAATCCTGGTGTGAACAAATAAAAGTTTTGACTTGTGTGGAGCTGTGGGTCTGTCCACTACTTTCCAATGATAACTGATCCTTTGTCACCTCCGTCCTGATCTCAGTGTGTCTAGCTGTGAGTCTCTGTAGTGTCATTATGTATGTATTGTCCCCTGTGCTACCTGTGCATCCTGTCCTCAGGTGAAAGAGGCCCTCTTTGCATGCCAGTTAGGAAATGAATTTCTGTAAAATATATGCCCTCCTTGAAAATCACCCTACGCTATTAGTTAATAACTATACATACAGTATATGTTCCCAGTACATGTACATGTTCCCAGCCAACTTGAATTCTGTTCTGAACACATGATAATGATGGGGAACTTAGAACATTGGTACAAAATCCCACTCTGGAGATACTCTGTCTCTCCTTCTACCCTCCCTTAAAATATCTGGAATGAGGGCCACATGACTCAGAAAACAAGAGGACCGGGCAGTTTCATGAGGGGAAAAAAAAAATCCTACACTGTAGATCTGGTTGTTGGCCAGTTAGATCATTAATTAGCTATGACACATGAGGCAAGCTTACCTCTGACCTGTACTAATTATTTCTCAACTAATTTTTACTTGATAGGAGAAAGGTAAGATGAACCCATATGATTCCAGAGTTCTAGACCAAATTAGCCTATTTTAAACCCTTTTTGTCCCCTCAGATGGCAGAGCTTAAGGTTCTCAAATGGCCCCTGGCCCACGGTTGGCCACTATTCATTTCCAACTTGTATTAAGCTTTCCATTCTTTGTATAGAAAATAGCCACAGCTCCTTAGAAGACTACTAGAAAGGTGCAGACCATTGTTTCAGTTTCTATGTGACCGAAGGATCAGAGCTCCCATCTGTCTTTGAGGAACAGAATTAGAGTAGTCATTTACAGTGTTAGCAGAAGGCTGCTGAAGTATAGCTGGGATCAAGTCCTGGCCTTGTCCCTATTAGCCTGTAAGTAACCATCCCTCTCTGAACACGGCTCTGAAATAATACACATAACTTTCCCACTTGGTATTATGAGGCCTGAATGGTTTGTAAGTTTGAAAACTGTGTCAACAGTATATGTTGGTATCAACATCTTAGCAACATACCCATTTTGTATTTCATAGATGCAATTATTTGGTATTTTATATGGGGTATTAACATAATATCTATTGGTACAACTTTTCATATACAACATCTATACTGTTGCTCAATATTTTGGTTTTGGATGTTAATTTTCATGTATAGAAACCAAAGAACAAATGTGGAGTTAAGTCTTTACCCTGAGTTTACTTACAGTCTTAATCTCCTTTTGTCCTTTGTATTTCAGTGGTTGGGTCTTCAGGATCATAGCTGTGAAAGTGTAGGGTATAAGATCATTGATCGAATTCAGACTCATTTGAAAATATATGACAAGGTCAGAACAAGAAAGTTAGTTACTTTCAAATGCAAAGAATAATAATTGTAAATCATTAAATTCAAGATTCTGTTATTATTGAACAATTTAATAATTTTATTGATATATTTTTGGATCTATTCAGTGGTATGAAAACTACAGTCTTCTTTAAGTCTTACAGATCTAAAATATTAATTTTTTTAATGCTGAGGTATCTACTTCTTTATGAACAGCCCTGCCGATCCACACGCTCAGAAATACATCTCAGAAAGTAAATGTTCAGTGAGTATGGTTCTTTTACTCTCTCCCCCTTACTCAAAGTAATTAATTGCCAATGATCATGGTATACCATGTTAAACTGAAATTAAAGTTTTTTTCCAAATTATTCTATATTTGGCATAATTGTAATTTTTTTTAGGTCATTGAGAAAAATGGGAAATTACGTTATGAAATAGATACTGGAGAAGAAACAAAACTTGTTAATCCAGAAGATGTTGCCAGACTGATATTCAGTAAAATGAAAGGTACTGCACAAAATTTAACTATTAACTTATTTTGCAACTTCATATATAGATATATATATATATATATATATATATATATAATTTATTTACATGTATAATTGTATATATCTGTATGTATGTGTCTATATGTATATGTGCCTGAGGTTAGAGGCATCCTCTGGAGCTGGAATTAGAAACCCTTGTAAGTTGCTTGATGTGGGTGCTGAGAATTGAATTTAGGATCTCTGCAAGGAAAATACATGTTCTTAACTACTGAGTGACCTCTGCAGCCCCTAACTGTTAACTTTCAATGATCCCTTAACTTAACCCTAAGACAGTTGGGATAGTGGTTCCCAGTGCTGAGGAGTTAGAGACACATGCATGCATAGGACTTGCTGGCTGGCCATCCTACTTGAAGAGTTCTAGGCAAGTTAAAGCCATCTTATTGTGTGCATACACACGCACGCACACATGCACGCATGTACACCAGCAAACAAAAAGACTTGAAGGGGAAAACAGTGAGCAGTTAGATCTAAATTAGATTTTGCTTGGCTACCAATTGGCTCTGGCCTTAATCTTTCCTGTAAGGACAGGTTAAGTATCTCATATCTGAAATGCCTGGGACCAGAGGTATATAAAATTTCAGAGATTTTCAAATTTGGGGATATTTACCTAGAATCTGCCAGTTAAGAATTCCTAATCCAAAATTCTGAACTCCAGATCTTTCAAGATTAAAAACTTGTTGAATGTTTCTTTGGAGCACTGCAGATTCCAGCCCATTAAACTGTAATGTAAAAGAATTGGGCCAGAGTGACAACTTCAGAACTTCAAGGTTGACAGTGTCCTCCCAGTGGTAATGTGGGCAGATTGACGCTGTGGTTTATCACCACTCCACACAAAGGCTCAGCAAGTCAGTGGCACTTTATAGAACAATTTGGGAAATTCTGGTGTAGCTTCCTTACAAGGCTCAGTTCAGCTTTGCAGTTGTTAAGATCTTGTGAAAAATCTGTCTGTGATGGCCTTAATCCGAGCACTCAGGAGGCAGAGGCATGTGGATCTCTGAGTTTGAGGCCAGCCTTTTATACAGAGTAAGTTCCGGGACAGCAGGGCTATACAGAGAACCCATCTCCAGAGAAACAAAAGTAAAAAATCATAAGAGAGGCAAGGCAGTCAGTGCTTTAATGTCCTGAGCTCATGGTGATGCAGGGGGCGGGGGGGGGGGGGGGGGCGTCCTTTGTCCTTTACTTCAATGTCTTTGGGGAACTGGTTCCTGGAATCAATCTAATTCAGATTTCAGAATAAGACTGAAGAGCCGGGCTTTTTGGAAAATACCTGGTTCTGTGTCCACATGCCATCATGATACCACAAGAAGCCCAGCTTGACTTAAGAGCCACAGGATGGGAGTGAACAAGGGCAGAATCGGTACCTATTTAGTGAAGAAATCTTTAGCTTCAATTAGGAAACTACAGAAAAACATGTCCCATCGTGATGTGTTTGTGTTTGCTTTCAAATGTACAGAAACAGCACGTTCTGTCCTGGGCTCAGATGCAAACGATGTAGTTATTACCGTCCCATTTGATTTTGGAGAAAAGCAAAAATCTGCTCTGGGGTAAGTGTAACTGTCTTAACTTTGGTAGTTAAAAGAAATACCAACTGTACTCGGTAAAAAACATAGTTACATTTGGGAATAGCTTAGGCAGTACAGGGGCATTTGTTAAGTATTGCATGGTAATGTCATTCATACTGCTTTCATGAAGCACAAGAGAAGAATTCAGTATCAGATGCTGTGTGCCCTTTTAGCTGTTTTGTTGGGAACTGTTATGAATCACTTTGCCTGTTTCATGTAACTGAAGCTTATGTGGAAAATACATAAGAATGTTGTAAAAAAAAAAAAAAAAAGGGGGTGATTATTGAATAAAATGGGCACAGTAAAGAAACCAAACTAGCTGCTCCATGGGTAAAAGGGGTAAGTTTATTCCAAACTGCCAAGACTGTCTCTCAGGGAAGCAGGGGGCAGGAATGGGGAAGGGGGTGTTCCAAGGCTTTAAAGGATCCAGTGCCTGGGAGGACGGTTTGGAACCTGTAAGCTGGGGTAGAGGACTTTGAAGTGTATAACAGGTACTTGTGAGTGGAGACTGAAGGAGTTTAGAAGCTGCCATAGACCTGGATATGCTAATAGGCACCACAGGAGTGTGTTAATGGAAGAGCCAGAGGTCCCTTCTGCCAGGGGTAAGGACAGTGCTTCCTTTTAGCAGGCAGGGATACTTACTTCTGTATAAACACCAGACTTTGGGGAAAGGATTTTTTGGGGACCAGACAAGTATTTATCTTAGTTCTTAAGATCTAAACAAAAAGAGTTAGATTTGTTCCTCACAAGTGTCATGAGATGCAATTCATGAGTATGGGTGCTCTTATTGTACTTAGTAGAGTTCTACCTGTGTTTTGGCAAGCAGAGAAATTTGCTTTTGGGCCCAGAGTAAAGAAATGAGTGGGGGGAGAGGGGGCTAGAGAGATGGCTCAGTGGTTAAGAGCACTGACTGCTCTTCCAGAGGTCCTGAGTTCAATTCCCAGCAACCACATGATGGCTCACAACCATCTGTAATGAGATCTGGTGCTGTCTTCTGGCCTGCAGGCAACATGCAGGCAGAATACTGTATACATAATAAATATTTTTTAAAAAAAGAAATTGGGACATTCCGTGATGTTTTAGACATTGTTATCACTTCCTAAAATTTGCAATCATGGGGATTGATCGGCTTTCTTCATTCAGTTAAAAAATTACTGATTTCTTTTACCTCCTAAGGTACATTGTAGTCCAGTAGAGTATATAGAGACGGATGAGATGTGGCTCTAACATCAGAATTAACTCTAATTATATAATGTGGTCCTTCCTTCAAAGGGGCATGTTGTGAACTGTATGGAGGCAAGGTACCCATCCTAGACTTTCAGAGCCCAGAGACTCCCAGAAGAAGTGAACTTTATTTTAACATATATTTGAGAACTATCTTTTTCCATTTCTTTCTCCTTTTTTGTGTGTATCTGCATGTGTGTGGTGCATATGTGTTTGCCGGTACCTTTGGAGGTCAGAGGTCCTGATTAGGTATCTTCTTCAGCCACTTTTCACCCCATCTTGAGACAGAGATTCTCATTAAACTTGACACACATCCATATGCCTGGGCAGCCTGGTTATCAAGCTCCAAGGATCCTGTCCTGTCCCCTGCCACAGTTGGATACATGTATGCACTCAACACTCACCCTGTCCCAGCACCATGGTTACAGACACAGGCCACCACACTTGTATGTTTGTGGGTGCTGGGGATTCAAACACAGATCCTCGTGCCTGTGTGGTTTCAAGGTGAATAACTAATGCGTAGTCCGTAAGGTCAGGATAACTTTTAATAGGTAAATGCCAACCAACAGGAAGATAGAGCGTGTCAAGGCAGCAAGGAAAGAGAGAGACCATGTGCCTTGTCTATCCCTTTAAAACATCTCACACATCATCAGGTGATGTCAGGGTGTAGTTGGGCACACCTGTAGCCAGCCCTTAGGAGGTGTGTCTCCCTACAGTGTGGCAGGCCTGTTTACTGACTGAGCCACCCCCGAGTCCTGACAGTTTTTTTTTTTTTTTTTTCTTATTCAAAGTAAGTGCAAACTATTTTATTGAGAAAACAAGCTCTGAGCAGTGTATTTTTAAACAGAATGTGAATTTGAGTCATTTCTTTTTCAATGCTCTACTTCTGGTACTGTCTAGTGGAGTATCATTTGCTAGTGCATGAACCTTGCAACAGAGCATAGCTACAAGGGTAGGGCTGAGCATGTGATATGAAATTAATTGAGAGCAAATTGTTCCCAGAGAAGCAGCTGGAGCCGCTGGATTTAATGTGTTGCGACTAATACACGAGCCGTCTGCAGCTCTTCTTGCTTATGGGATTGGACAAGACTGCCCTACCGGGAAGAGGTAAATACGATATCTGGAGTTTTCAACTCATTATATGTCCATCAGCTTGGTGCTGACCTTTATAGAGGAAAGACACATGAACCCACCTCACTAGTTCTGAGCAGCTGAGGAGGAGCTGCAGAGAAAGCAGGGAATCGGAAGCTGAGAGTCCTCCTGATACCCTCATTTTGTTGTAGAAACTAGATAATTATAGACAGATCCAGTTTCCAACTGATAGTAGAGCACTATGAATCTTACCACACTTCCAGTTTCGATGCAGTGCTAACCTTTCCAAATTGTTGGATCCTGTTCAAATTTCTCATGGTTAGAGAAACTAATGTGTTTAAATCACTAGGAAATTATTTTAAGGTAAACCAGATTAATATAAAAACATTAAAAATTATGAATTCTGATATACCAGAAATAGGGAGTTGACTTCTAGTGTCCTTGTGATTTGGATCCGAGGACTATGTCATAGTAACTTGTGTAATAGCAACAGGATTTCCGTACTTGATTCTATTCTGATTCAGAATAATCATGAACCCCTTGTTTGATTTGAACCCCTTGTTTGATTTACTTTGAAAAGTTTGTGTTTTGAAGTCTAGTCTCTCAGAAAAAATAGTTTCTCCAGCATGGCTGGCTGAAAGGAGCATTGATTTAGTTTCAGAAATGTGTGTTCAAGGCTGACTTCAACACTGGTGACTAGAGACAGCCGATGGCCCATGCCAGCTCTAAATTTTCCTTTGGTAAAATAAACAGAGTCAAACTAGTGGCTTCAAAATGTTGTGGTTCTCTGACGAGTTGTTTTTTGTTTTGTTTTTTCCTTGAAGCAATGTTTTGGTATTTAAGCTTGGAGGAACATCCTTATCCCTCAGTGTCATGGAAGTCAACAGTGGGATGTATCGGGTTCTTTCAACAAGCAGCAGTGATGACATAGGGGGTGCACATTTCACAGAAACCTTAGCCCAGTATCTGGCTTCGGAGTTCCAGAGGTGAGTGCCCAGTTCACTGTGACTGAGGCTTCTCTTCAGGGGCTTGGTTTAGTTTTCCCTAATTGAAACTTTTCTTTCTTTTTCTTTCCCTTTCCTTTCTCTTTTTAAGATTTATTTATGTGGCTGGAGAGGTGACTCGGCCTCTTGTATAATACTCTGGTATAATGTACTGTTAATGGCTGAGCTGTCTCTTCAGTCCCAGCACCTTGAGCTGTCAGTATCAGCAGTTGGCTCATACCATACACAGTGATGGTGTGGTGATTGTAAAGGTGTCGCACCTGCCATAGACTCTTATATCAAAGTACACAATACAGCCATTCAAAAATAAAAATGGGTTATTTTTCCTGGAAGGACCCAGACAGTCCACTTAGAAAAGTTTAATAGCATTAGAAGCCACATTACTAGTATTTGATTAACTCATTATTGATGTAATGGTATTTAGATTTTAGTGGCATTAAATTATAAATGACCCAAGACCTTCAAACTTCCAATGTTACATTTTTAGGTTGTTCAAACATGATGTGAGAAGAAATGCCCGAGCCATGATGAAATTGATGAACAGTGCTGAAGTGGCCAAACATTCTTTGTCAACCTTAGGAAGTGCCAATTGTTTCGTAGATTCATTGTATGAAGGCCAAGATTTTGATTGCAACGTGTCCAGGTAAAACTGATACACGAAAGAAAGTTCAGACATTCTGGGAGCATCTCGTGTGTGTAATTTTCCAATGTACAGCTTTTCTTTTTTTCCTTGGTTGTCTGTAGTGAGGGAACTTCATTGTCCAGATTTGGGGTTTATTTTTATCAAACTAAATAGTTGTTACATTTTGATTCCAAAGTCCTTGCTCTGTAATTATTGCTCTTTATTGAAGATGGACGTTTGTCTTGTGCTTGCTCTTTTGGCTAGGCTAGCTGGCCAGTGAGCTGTCAGGAGAGTATTTGTGATCTCCCCTTACCTTCCCTAGTACTGGGGCTACAGGCACATGCAGCCATGCCCAGTTTGTTACATGGGTGCTGGAGATTCGAACTTAGGTCCTCACCCTTGTAGAGTAAGTGCTATTTCCCACTAAGCCATCTCCCCAAACCCCCCCCCCTTTTTTTTTAAGACTGGATTTTATATAGCCCAGGCAAGCCTCAAACTCATAGTACCTGAGGATGACCTAAGTTGGTCCTCCTGCATCTGTTTCCCCTTCTTGGGGCTGCAGATATGTGCCACAATGCCAGTTTGTGCATTACTGGAGCCTAGGACGTCATACATGCTAAGCAAGCACTCTGCCAACTAAGCAACATCCCTAACCAATATTTTATACTTTAATCATGTTTGTGACGTTTAATAAAAACAGATTTAATGTGCATAAAATAGCTTTTAATACCATGTCTTTTATATGTTGCAAGGCATTGCCTACAAGTGATTGCACCTTTATCGAGATGATTGGATGCTACCCCTGCCTCTCACATTGCGTGCATTTAACAATAACTCTAGTTAGCCTGTTGCAATTTCTCAGCATTCTGACAACATACTACTTTAAAGCACAGTTGGAGTTACCCGGCTTCCTGAGTTGTATTTTTAGGATTCTCTTGACTGGTTTGGGGCACCTTCTCCATTTTTGTCTCATAATTGAGGCGCTTCCCTTCAGTTGGCTTTTCTGAAAATCCTGCCCATGATGTTTAAACTGAAGTCATATTGTGCAAAGGGAAACATTAAAAAACACTGTTCTTTGGGAGCCTTTGTGGTTAGTGGCTCTTTAGCACAGCCCAAAGGACAGAAAATGTGTTAAAGTGCATTGAGTCTCTTGAGGTGGAGAATCTTCACGTTGTTTCTATTTCCAGAGTGCCTTAGTGCCAAGTCTTCAAATACTGAGTGTGTGCTTGCTTATTCATAACCATGTAAAAAGGAAATGAAATTTGTCATTTTACATTAAGGAATTTATCTCAAAGATTTCAACCATGAAGTATATTTAGTTTTTGTAGGTAAGAAAATTTAAATCATTTCCCTACATTTAAGAAGTTAAATGTAGGTCATCGAGATGGCTCAGCAGGTAAAGGTACCTGATGATCTGAGTTCAATCCCTGAAACCCTCATGATGGAGGAAGAGAATCAACTCCTCTAACTTATCCTCTATCTTTACATATGCACCATGTACACGTGTACAAATAAATGTAAAAGAAATTCAATACATGGGGATTAAAGAAGCAAACTGCCACTTTTGGCATGGTTTAATGGAGATTTCTGAGTTTTTGTTGTTATTCATTAATAAAATATTGTAACTTAATTTTAAAAAGTTTACTATGAAATGGGGAAGTACAGTTCTTATGGAGTGAATCTTCTCAATAATTACATGTCAGTATACAACTTTCTTAGTGAGGAAGTTGTCTCAACAACTCTTAGTACAGACTGAATAGTCTTCTAACATGACCTCAGGCTATAACAGGAAGTAACTAGGAATAATTGTTAAAGCTTGGATGTGTGAAAAATGCAAAGTGATCCAGATGTGGCGGTTTTGTTAGGGTCAATGGATTTATTGTGGATATGCCATGTATTTGTGCATCTTCTTAGCTATTTTTTGGACACTTATGGGTCAGCCATGATAGCTCTCCCTTTGAATTGGATATTAAATATCATCAGATGTGTAGGGGACTAACTTGGAAGGATGGAGACACATACAGTTTAGTAACTTGCAAAGCCATTCTTAGGAGATAGGCATTCCTCTACTGAGAAGTCACACTGCACTAAAGCCTTTTTGCTCTGCCCCCTCTGTTCCCATGTTCACATCTGCGCGCAGAGCAAGGTTTGAGCTTCTTTGCTCTCCACTTTTCAACAAATGTATAGAAGCAGTCCGAGAACTCCTACGTCAGAGTGGATTCACAGCGGATGATATTAACAAGGTAACTCTATCCTCACCTTATCTGTTTTAGGGGCAATTTCAGATTTAAAACTTAGAGAATAATGGTGTAGAAAAATACCTGTTTCACAACTTTTGTTAATAATTATGATCTGATGAATTCACATGTTATGTGTATATTGTCTCCTCACACACACACAAAAACAGACTTCTTCCCTTCCAATATATGTTTATTTATATGTGAGACAGATAGATAGCTACTGAAGTGTGTCTGTGTGCCAGGTACATGTTTGTTGACCACTAACCATCAGCTCTGAGGTAGGCACTGTCCCAATTTGTTAGGTTGAGACACTCAAGTCCAGAACTGAAGTGACCTCTTGAAGATCTTGAGGTTAGTGAGGAATAGAAGCAAGATTTAACCGAGTAGGATTCCTGAATTGGGGGGATGACTTGCAAAAACATAACTCCTGGGCAGCCGCGTCATGGGAAAGCCCAGCAGCATGGATGACAGACATCTCTGCCTCCCTGGAGGCAGCCCCCACACACTGCATGCTGTCCCCAGCAACTGTTACTCTACAACCTAGGGGTGGGCCTTGTGGGTCTGGATTCCTCGGAGCTTAGGAAGTTTCCTTAGCTTCCTGAGTTAGTGTTGTTGTTGTTTGTTTTGGGGGGGCTTTGTTTGTTTTGGTTTTTTGAGACAGGGTTTCTCTGTGGCTTTGGAGCCTGTCTTAGAACTCGCCCTGTAGACCAGGTTGGCTTCAAACTCACAGAGCTCCTCCTGCCTCTGCCCCCCAAGTGCTGGGATTAAAGGCATGAGCCACCATCACTGGCAGCTTCCTGAATTTATGGCTTCCCTCTGGGGCACTGCTTCAATTCAGAGGAAGAGCTGCACGATTGCAGCTTCATTGTCTGCACCTTACTTTCTTATAAGAGAGTGGCAGTATACCATAGGAATAAGTAGTGTGACTGATTCTGAGGGTTCTTGGGAACCGTAACAGTAAACAGTCCAAAGCATACTGTGGATGATCAGTTAATGTCAGTTCCCTTCATTTGTCATGGGGCTCTGTCATCTAGTTGCCACTACAGTTCAACTCTGAATTGCTTGAGTTGAGGTAGAATAGTCTTAAGCTCTAGACTGTTGCTGTGGGCACACAGGCCTTGAGAACTGAAAATCGTGTGTCTGTCTTCTGTTGCCCTTAGCGCAGTAAGATCTCCACTCTGAGTGCTTTTCTAGAGCAAGCAGGGTGTCTTGCCCAGGTTGCATGTGAGTAGCAGACAGTGGCTGCAGCTCTCCGCTTGAGGCTCTTCCCCTGGCTTCACACAGGACATAGGTTAAAGAAGCAGCGAGGTGCAGTTCCCACTCAGTGGAGGTGTAGGAGAGGACAAACATTTGAGAACATATGCTACCTCTCGTGCTTCTGCTTAGAAGTGTGTGGTATGACAGTATACCGTTGGCTCCTAGACAGGCCTGACAGTACAGTGGCCAGTCCTCTTTGGGGAAAGGAGACTGGTGATTGGGCTTTATAGGCATTAAACATTTAATCCACAAAAGCACTAACAGGCAGGCACTATCTACATTTTCAGGTGTTTTTATTTTATAAAACACTAAAAACTAGTAGTAAGAACAGATAATTAGCGCCATGTATAGTGTAGTGCGTATGGTAATTCTAATACTGGAGAACTAGGCGTTCAAGATCATACTTGATTGCATATATAGAGTTCACAATGAGCGTGGGCTACATGAAACCCCCCACCAAGTCCAGACTTCCCTCACCCCCTGAAGACAATTAACAGTACAGAAGGTGTATTTACAAATTACAATATAAATGAAAACTATTTTCTATTCAAATATTAAGTTGGCAGAAGAAGTCTCATTTCTAAGACTCAGATTAACTTATTTAGACTAAAACCTACTCTTTACTGTCATAGTGACACTGTACTTTTCATCCTAAAATGAATGATAAAAAAACAAATTTTCCAGATGGGGGGAGGTTAACTTACAGTTTAGTAATATAACCTTTTGTTAAGTATGAGACTTTTTAAAAGAAATTCTACATTTCTGTTCTGTGGGTATTTAATAGCATCATAAATGTCAGGAAAATATTTCCTTCCTAAAGGCAAACCCATTTAGAAAGAGAGAGAGAGAGAGAGAGAGAGAGAGAGAGAGAGAGAGAGAGAGAGTTGTAACTTAGGCCTTGAACTTCTCATGGAAGGGAAGAAGGAAAGGAAGGAAGGAAGGAAGGGAGAGAGGGAGGGAAGAAGGAAAGGAAGGAAGGAAAAAGAAAACCTGGTATTTCTCACACCTTTGCCTGAAGATTGGCATGGTACCCCTTGTCTCTTACCACATGTTCAAGAGCTAGTTGTTCTAACTAACTAGTTCTAATGCCCTTTTCTGTCACATCCAACTTTAAGCGCATCCATTAAAAGATTATTAAAGAAGTTAGCAGTGCATGGGTAACTTTGCTAAGACTTGTGTTTGCTCAGCATCCTGCATGTCCAGAGTCTCGGGTGCTGATTGGATGAATGAAGGAGAAACCCAGGGCTTTTCAAAGGAGTACTTTTACATTAAGCTGTCCAGAGATGAGAATTAGTCAGATAGCGTACTGAGAGCTTAGACTATAGTTTGTACAAACATAAAGCATCCTTTTTCTCAAGGTCCTTGTTATTTTTCCATTGTAGAGGCAAAAATCTATAGTAAATTTCTCTTAAGGAGAGATTAGTAATACAGAATACAAAAATGATGTAGATGTACATAAACATTTCTTATAAAGTATTGGGATAGGCTGGGCAACGGCAGTGCACGCCATTAATCCCAGCACTTGGGAGGCAGAGGCAGGTGGATCTCTGTGAGTTCAAGGCTAACCTTGTCTACAGAGTGAGTGCTAGGAGAGGCTCCAAAGCTACACAGAGAAACCCCCATCTCGAAAAACAAACAAACAAACAAAAAACCAAACAACCAAACAAAAAAACCCCAAACAAACAAAGTGTTGGGCTAGTACACACTGTTAATTCTTCCTGTTCAGTTGACTTCATAATTAAACTTTGTAGCATATTAATCATAAGCTCACTATATATTTCTGTACTGTATTTTATAGTGTGGTTCTATATTTTAAATTTGTTGAGAGTAAAGGATAGGTTAACTGCATTTGTATGTTAGGTGTTAGGTAACATAATATGTCAAACAAGGTCTCGTGTGTTCCAGGTGGCTTATGGTATTCCTCTTCCTGTTTTAGGTTGTACTGTGTGGTGGGTCTTCAAGAATCCCAAGGCTGCAGCAGCTGATTAAAGATCTCTTCCCAGCTGTGGAGCTTCTCAACTCCATCCCCCCAGATGAGGTCATCCCTATTGGTGCAGCCATAGAAGCCGGGATTCTTGTTGGGAAAGAGAGTGCTTCAGTGGATGACTCTCTCATGATAGAGTGTTCAGCCAAGGATATTTTAGTTAAGGTAACTAGGGGATGAGTGTCTCTCTTGCTCAGTCAAGGCTATTTTAGTTAAGGTGTACTTACTTTCTATGCATTTCCAAAGAGTTACTACAAATTAGTTGCTGTAAGTTTTCACTTACATTGTAATGTGTAATAAGCACAGTAAGGACTATAAATTTAGAATAGTAATTATATTTTTACGGGTTCTTTATGTTGTTTCATTTAGTGTCTATGGAACATGTTAATTTCCTAAGAAAATGAAAGTACAATTTTTAAACACCAGCTTTTAGCATCTGGAGAGAGAGTGATGTGTCTGTGTAATTAAACAAAAGGAGGTGGAATTGTGTGTGGTTTTTCTATCTACTTACTAGATTCTCAGCATGGACTATCTCTTTCCATTCCAGCAGGAGTAATGAGCTATTTCCGGTTGTAAAGATAAAAGCCAGAGTGTTCATCTTGTTTTCCTGCTTCCTAGGGGGTCGATGAATCAGGTGCCAACAGATTCACAGTACTGTTTCCATCCGGGACTCCTCTGCCAGCCCGAAGACAACACACCCTACAAGCCCCTGGCAGTATATCTTCCGTTTGCCTTGAACTCTATGAGTCTGAGGGGAAGAACTCTGCTAAAGAGGAGACCAAGTTTGCACAGGTAAATAGACAAAATTGGACACTACAAATTTGTTACAGGCAAATATTTAGCTTTCCCTTCAAAAGTCAATTCAGTTAGCATCTCCATTAATACTAAGTCGATGTAGTCTAGTAATATTCTTATTCATTGTTTAAAAATAAGAAATAGGTGATCTTTCATTTGATAGTGTTATGAAAAAATAAGAATGAAATCATCTTGTGATTAAAGCACTTGTTGTGTGTGTGCTCTTGGCCAGTCTTAGTAATTAGGTAACTGCAAAGTGACGATAAAGCTGTTTGGTAAATGCCAGGTGTTATATGAGATAATGTTCAAACAGAACCACCTGACTCTAGTTATACTCTGACTTCCACATGCATCAAGGCTTGAGTATGCACATGCAAAATAAATAAGATAATTTTTTAAAAAGAATATTGCAGAAGTTATGTGGTACCAAGTTGGAAAGAGACTGTTTCCTTGCTCCCATCTGTTCTCACCTCTTTTTCCAAATGAGTCACAGGGTGGTGACTTACTTGTAAGGTTATTAAACTTGATCTTGGCAAAATTTGGGAAGGCAATGACGAACTCCTAATTTGCTCTTTCGGAATATCCATCTTTCAGGAACTAAGAGATTTTCATAACGATTCTTACTAACAAATGTAACCCCCAAATTCTGTATATTTCTTTTAAATGGGTAGCATTCCAAGTATACAAAGAAGATATTATGGAGCATAGTCTGTGTTACTGTTGAAAGTAGCTTACTTCTTCCCCACCCCCAAGTAGTCTTTGTTTTTTGAGGACAGTACTTCTTAGCAGCAATCATGTTAATGGGATGTTACATAAAAAGAGGGACAAATACATTAATTGTCTTATATATCCTCCCTCTGAAGGAGATAAGGCTTAAATCCCTAATCTCTGAATGTTCTTTAAGTGGTGGGCTGGTTGAAAACTGCCTCACTTTAAAAGGTTTGTTTTGATACTAAACTTTGATCCTTTACAATAAAAAAATACCTAATCGTCTTTGTTTTTGCACGAACAGGTTGTACTTCAGGATTTAGATAAAAAAGAAAACGGATTACGTGATATATTAGCTGTTCTTACTATGAAAAGGTACAAAATTAACTGTTTCCAATATTATAAAGACTCTGAAGCTTGGTTCCATTAGAGTTTGACTAACTTACCACTCTAGGCAAATCATTTGTCAAAACGCTTCAGCAGTGGAAATGTGGAAATGGATCCCATTTCCACTGTTAGATCTGTTTTAGGAGTGTATACCAGCTAGTTAGCATTGTGGGTCTTCTATGGACCCTTCTTTATGCAATAGAAAAGCTAGTCTAGGAAATTGGTTACTAATTAAATTCAGCTGTTGCCATTTCTTTACTGCCAGGCCATCTTACCACTGTTTATTTCAAGTAAATCTTTCCCATTTGATTTTTAAAACAGTATATTCTGTAAACCATACTTAGAAAGAATGCTGAACTCATTGGGATGGGCTTACCCTGACCTATCCTAGCTTGTATAAAGTTTTAAGCTTTTAATATCTTAGATTTTCAGAAAATATAGCTATGGTCTCTGAGGTCTAGAAGGAAATTTAAGAGCCTCCTAAAAACAGCACATGCTCAATTTAAAGACACTGAACTTATGTTTAATCTTTTTTTTTTAAGAAATGAGGTTTTTGTGTTTTATTTATTTATTTTAAGATTTATTTATTTATTTATTATTTATTATGTATACAACAGTCTGCTTCCATCTATATATGGAAGGCACCAGATCTCATTACGGATGGTTGTGAGCCACCATGTGGTTGCTGGGAATTGAACTCAGGACCTCTGGAAGAACAGCCGGTGCTCTTAACCTCTGAGCCATCTCTCCAGCCCCTATGTATTTATTTCTTATGTATATAGTGTTCTGCCTACACATATACCTGCAGGTCAGAGAGGGCACCAGATCTTATTACAGATGGCTGTAAACCACCATGTGGTTTCTGGAATTGAACCCAGGACCTCTGGATGAGCAGGCAGTGCGCTTATCCTCTGAGCCATCTCTCCAGACCTTAATCTTTATCTTAATAAACTTCTTTTCAAAATTTCAATTTCAAAATTGGTGATTTTTTGTTTGTATAAATAAGCTTATGAAATATAATTTATTTCTTGTATCTTTAGGGATGGATCTTTACAAGTGACATGCACAGACCAAGAGACTGGAAAATGTGAGGCCATCACTGTTGAGGTTGCATCATAACTGTTTCAGATAAACCAAGAGTTTTTTAGAACTATAATATCAACACCATTTGGTTTTGTGTATAAGTGATGTTTATAATAAAACACTTTTTCAATGAATGGTATAAGCTATGTTTCTATTAAAGTACAATTTATTAGTAAGTACTGAGTCTGTTTTCATTTTCATATAAGATTAACTATTATTAATGGAAAATAGGTACTTGTTCATGAAGCTGTTTAAGATGTTAGTTGTCATGACTGGAAGAAAATATACTGGAAACCTTGGAAGTATTAAATATTCTAATTTTAAGAGACTTCTCTTGATTTCTTGGTCAGTAAGAGCATTTAAATGCCTTCCATAATAGCTGAAAACAGTTGCAGGCTGTAGCATATTAGCTTCCTCATGACAAAATGCCCAACATAAACTCTTACCAGGAGGAAAGATTTATATAGTTCATGGTTTCAAAGATTTCCACCCATTATGATGGTGAGGGCGTGCACTACATACAGCCCTTCATTCACAGCATTGTGACTGGAAGCAAAGGAGTATATGAAGGAACCAGAGCAAGATAACTCCCAAGGATGCATCCTTCAACCGTGCCTCACCCCTTACTCTCCACCCGATTCTCAATAGTGCCATCATACCATGAAAACAATCCATGGAATAGATCAGAACCCTCAAGATCCAGTCCTACCCCACTCAGCAACTAACTCCTAATACATGAACCTTTGAGGAATATTTCATAATTAATCTGTAACATTCTACCCCTGACCTCAAAGGCTTATTCCATCTCAATGAAAAATGCATTTAGTACATCTCCTAATGTCCCCCATTAGGTTTAACTGTCAACCTTCTTCAAAAGTACATATACAAATTTTCTGATACTCAGCCAGGTGGTGGTGGTGCACACCTTTAATCCTAGCACTTGGGAGGCAGAGGCAGGCTGATCTCAGTGAGTTCAAGGCCAGCCTGGTCTATAGTAAAGCAAGTTCCAGAATAGCTAGAACTATTGCACAGAGAAATGTTGTCTCAAAAATACAAAAAAAAAAAAAAAAAAAAAAAAAAAAAAAAAACTCAAGACAAAACTCTTAGCTGTCAGTCCTTGTAACACTTGAAAAGCAAGCCAGGCAGTGGTGGCTCATGCCTTTAATCCCAGCCTCTGGAGGCAGAGGCAGGTGGATCTCTGTGAGTTCGAAGCCAGCCTGGTCTACGGAACGAGTTCCAGGACGGGCTCCAAAACAATTCAGAGAAACCCTGTCTTGAAAAACAAAAAAACAAACAAAAAACCAACAACAACAACAAAAAAAAACCCAAAACATTTGAAAAGCAAGTTACATACTTCTGGCATATGGTAGTATTGAATAAACATTTTCATTCCCAAAGACAGAAATGCAGGCATAGAAAGCATGACTTTGGACCAAAACCTCCTAAGGCGAATACTAAATCTTGTAGCTCCATGTCTGGCATCAAGGACACACTGTCATATTGCCAGCTCCAGCACACTGGGCCCTGTCTGGCCTTGTCAGCTGCAGCCTACATCTCTGGAGCTGTCTCTGCTCACCGCCTGGAGCTCTCCTTAGCAGATGTTCCCCACTCCATCACCTTGAACATCTTGAGGTCTCCATCCTGTGGCTTTATCCTCAACTTCAATTCCTATTTCATTACATTTTGATAGCTTTAATATGTGTGAAAATTCTTAAATGTTAAAAAGACAGTGATCACAAAATAGGTCATTTCAAAAATGTCAGGTTATCTAAAATGACAGTGAGTGACCATGATAACATTAATACCTGTCTTAGTTAGGGTTTCTATTGCTGTGATGAACCACCATGACCAAAGAACTTGGGGAGGAAAGGGTTTATTTGGCTTACGCTTCCACAGCACTATATCATCACTGAAGAAAGTCAGGACAGCAATTCAAAACAGGGCAGGACCCTAGAGGCAGGAACTGATGATGAGGCCATGGACAAGTGCTGCTTACTGGGTTGCTTCCTCTTCATAGCTTGCTCAGCCTGCTTTCTTAAGAATCCAGGACCACTGGCTCAAGGATGGCACCACTCACAATGAGCTGAACCCTCCCCCATCAATCACTAAGAAAATGCCCTAAAGGCTAGTCTACAGCCTGATTTTATGGAGGCACTTTCTTTTTCTTTTTTTTGCTTGTTCATTTTGTTTTTTTGAGACAGGGTTTCTCTTTGTAGCCTTGGTTGTCCTGGAATTCAATCTGTATTTCAGGCTGGCCTTGAACTCAGAGATTCACCTGCTTCTGCCTCTTGAGTGCTGGGATTAAAGGTGTGCGCTGCTGCCACCGCTTGGCCTGGAGGCATTTTCTTTTCTTCTTCTTTTTTTTTTAATCATTTTTTTATTTGAATTAGAAACAAGATTGATTTACATGACAATCCCAGTTCCCTTCTCCCTCCAGTCTTCCCCCTACTACTCCCCCAACTAAAACCCTACCTATCACATAAACTTTCTTCTATTCTTCACCTGACTCAACCTTTCTGCTCCCTCATGACCTCATCCTTCCTCTTCTTCCCTTCTCATTCTCCTAGCTCCCTCCCCCCTCTTCCCATACTCTCAATTTGCTCAGGGGATCCTGACCCTTTCCCCTTCTCCAGGGGACAATGTTTGTCTCTTTTAGGGTCCTCCTGGTTTACTAGTTTCTCTGGCAGTGTGGATTGTAAGCTGGTAATCCTTTACTCTATGTCTAAAATCCACATATGAGTGAGTACATATCATATTTGTCTTTTGTGATTGGATTAATGGAGGCATTTTCTTAATTGTGTTTTCCTCTGCTTACATGGCTTTAGCTGATGTCGAGTTGACATAAAACTATCCAGCACAGTATTCAGCTCTTCATTTGCTTTAATTCATATCTCATGAACCTCACCACAGCTCTGAATAGCAATGCTGTGTATAGAGTAATGTGGTGTCTATTATTTCTGTTTTCCAGTTGTGAAACAGATTCCAAAGTTTAAAATCCTGTGTTTCATAGTCTCAGGTATGAATAATTGGTGAGAACAATATTAAGGTTAGTTTTGAACTTACATTTTGACTGCTTGATATTTTAAGTACAGTACATGCATATTTAAGTTCATATTTTTAATCTAATGTACATCATACTCTACTTTGCAGGGATCATTCAAGTGGGAAGAGATAAACTCCACAATTCCCTGGGAATCACATTTTCAGAGATGGATACGAGAAACTGAGAAGGATCAAAATCCTATCCTACTTCAAAGAATGTGGTGTCTGTCCCTTCACCACTTTTGATTTTCTTTTTTCAAATCAGTTGCTAAAGAGTGTTTACCCAGATCCTCAGTTTAGTCTCAGGATCTTTTCTCCACTTAAAACGTCTTGTCACCAAGCAGTATGGCATTCTCCTACAGCCCCAGGTATTTAGGAAGCTGAGGCAAGAGGACCATTTGAACCCAGTAGTTTGGAGACAGCTCAGAAAAACATGGTGAGATCCCGTCCCTTAAAAAATGTACATAAAATTGATAACACAAAGAGCTGTTGCTTATAATATATAACTTCTTATACAGTTAGAGATTTTCTTCAAGTTAGTCAACAGATTTTAAAAATATTTTTAAAATATAAAAAGTAATTCATAGGAATAACATTTTATAAAAATAACTTTCAAAGCAAAAGATTTAGCAGCAAGTGTGATATTGTATATTTTTTTAAGTCTCTTAATATCCAGCTTAACCAGGAAACAGTTACATTTTGATATATGTTTTCCTCTGTCAGTATATGATACCAGTTCTATGAATTCTGGAAAACTCCAGTACACCAATGAGAAAAAACGAAGAGGGCAAATACAAGGCTTCCTTGGTGCCATTTTGTGACAAGGACATGTCTGAGAATTGTGTTTTGTGGCTGGCTATTGTGTAAACATCACAGAACACTTGTAGAGCTGGTTTACCAGGATACAAAGTTGTAACACAGTGTAAGACTGCAGCTTTGTGCTCATGGATTTCTGGAAGGGTCTCAGATCCACTCTTCCATACTCTGAGAATTGATGTGCTAGAATAGATATAGACACTGATGGCTGCTGAAATGGCTGGGTCTACTCTGTCTACTCTATGCCTCCAAACTGATGGGATTCCTGATGAGATAAACAAAGCAAACACTTAATTTATAAAATTGTAACTTATAAAAAAAATTTTCAAGCCAGGCAATAGTGGCATGCGCCTTTAATCCCAGGACTCATGAGGCAAAGGCAGGCCAATCCTTGTGAGTTCGAGACCGGCCTGGTCTATAGAGTGAGTTCCAGAACAGCCAGGGCTGTTAACACAGCAAAAACCCAACTCAAAATACAAACAAACAAAAAAAAATCTCAGTGTTGTGATCAAACCCTAAGCCCTGGATATATCAGAAAAGCACTTTTCTGCCCAGCTATCCTCTGCCCCCAACTTCCTTTTTTAAAGTCTTATTAAAACCTAGTAAGACTAAAAATATTCTTTCAATTCTACAGACACAAATTTTGATAAATGCTTTTAAAGCAGGGATAGAGACAGAGTGCCTTTAGAGGCCTCTCAGAAGAAGTAACATTTGAGTTAAAACCTAGCTAATAAGAAGATAGCCACATGAAACGGAGGAGAGTTTGCCCTTTGGGCTAGACAGCGATTTCCAGGTTAAAGTGTTTATTTAGAGCAGGGAGTGTCGGCTCACACCTGTGGCCCCAGCACACCAAGGTGGAAGCAAGACCAGGAAGTCAAGGTGATTCCCACATACAAAGCAAGTTTGAGCCCTGTCCCCAAAAAGACTCCAAGAGGACACTGTTTCCTTTCTTGTTTAGCAGGTGCCTGGCACATAGGAGATACACATGAAAATATTTTTGAATATGCCTATTATATTTGAATTGTGTGTGTTGTATTTGAATTGTGTAAGTATAATAGTTGAGTATATGAAAATTTGAAAAGCCATAGAACATAGTGGGCAAAAGGGAGAATGGTTCAAAGCAAGTGAGAAAAACAGACTTCTAATCACTGGTGGTCTCATAGGCACCGGAAGATGTGCTATGCGGTGAAGTACTTAAAGTTGGAGAAGGGTTATGTTTCACTTTATGTTTTAAAGCTACTTTAGCTCCATGGGAAGTGGCTACAAGGGGAGCAATAGCAGAGGTCAAAGCAGTTAGACTTCTTTGACTGAGAAATGATGGTGTGGATAACAGTAATAGCAATGAAAATAGAGAGGAGACAGGCAGTGTGCGTTTGCTATTAGCACTGACGTGACTTACCAATGGAATTACAGAAGGCTTTTGTGTATAATGGTTCCCTTACAACTTTCAAGATTCACAATGGTGTGAAAATGATAAGTGGCCCAATTCTCCCTGAGTGTAAATGGCTAAAAACTGAGCAAAGCTTAAAGCTGTTAAGGAGGATAAAGTAAGTCCTAGTTGTAAATGTACCTTGTAAGTTTGCTTTAATTAAGCTCAGCTGTTGGCTGGGTTGGTTTTATTTTGACAACTCTCAGCGCCTTCCTTTGGATCCAGCTGCTGCACGGCCATATCAACTCAGCAGACTCTCCTTGTGTGATCCAAACAGACCACTTAGATCCAAAGTGAGGCCACCTGCATCCAATTTTGAGATCCTGCTCTGCAGAGGCGGGGAGTGAAAGGAAAAGCTTGCTTGGGTTCAAGCGCTAAGGAACAAGAGTAGGAAAGTAGCTATCTGTGCACTCTAACCCACACAGCACATTTTGCATCTTATAACGTGCGTGCCATGCCTTTGGGACGAGACTCAGAGCACCGAACAGGGAGGGAATCCTGGCATGCAGCCTTTAGAGTCAAAGCGAGGACCATACCAGGAGGGGCGGGGCCTGTCGGCAGGAGCTAGTTGTGACCCCGCCCCTTTGTGCCCCCCCAACGTGCCGCGCATGCGCAGTGGCTACTACGGCTGGGGTCAACCTCCACTGACGTCAGGACGCCACACTGCTTCCAGCCTCCCATCTCTGGAGTCCCTCGCGGGCCGGGGCGGGGCGTCTGGCCAGCTGAGCTCTTCGGGCTGACCGCGCCAGTTTGAATGAAAGCTCCG